TGGTATTATCATAGTCAGTGTTTCAAAGCTCTCTGTAGTCAGTGCCGCCAGAGATTTTTAACAGCAGGGAGTCCTGGTCTGTCTATGGCTATAATAGACTGATATCTCATTAGAAAGACAAGCTGCACTGTACCAGAGGACTTTATTGGAGCTAGTATGGCAATAGAGTGTGCTTTAGTCGTTCTACCGATCAGATTCCTGCAGTTAAATAGGCGGCTTCACTGCAGACACAATCTAATTATGGCAGAGCACAGCAAAACACACTGAATGGATAAAATGAACGATGGTTGACATGTTTTTATAAAAACTGTAGTTAATAATCAAGCCGTCTCAGAATTTACTAATTTATTCAGCAAAATGTATTAAAAAAAAACATCAAATTTACCGCACCACATCAAGGCTGTCACAGATACATTTTTCCAAACGCACATATCTTATTTATAATAGATTTTTATCTAGTTTATAGTTTAGTCTCGTTTAGAGGAGCGCTGTCTCTTGACATCAGGCAGCAAAACAAACCATGTCAGAGTTCAGACGAGCCAATTAGCATCCAACTGGGATCTGTTTGGTTGCAGTCAAGCTCTGTACAAAATCCAATCAGTCATGTTTAAAGTGTGCTCAGATAAGAAATTATACATTTTTAAATCAGACCAGTATAATAAAAAAAACATCTGCTAAATATCCTCATTTAAAGGAATAGATGGATGGCCAGTTGTTGCTTTCAATAAATGAGATACAGGAGAAACCAAACCAGACTTTGTATAAAACTGCATAGATCACTGTTTTAGTTTCTAATTATTCTGATAAAATAATTTACCATACTGAATATTTCCAGTTGAGTCACACTGAGAAAACCTGACATGCTCATGAGTGCAGGAGACAATATAACAACTTTAAACATAAGCAGTCATGTGGCCCCAAAAAAGTTGCCCACACACTTGTCCACTCCTGCTTTATTTAGTCACAAGAAGTCATTAAAACTACTTTGATCTTTTAAAATCTTGTAATAGTAAGAAGCTCTCACAATTTCATGTCCTTCTGTAGGTTTTTCAGAGAAAAAGGCAGCACATTTAGAAGCCCCCCTCCTCCAATTCTGCTACTGTGAGACTGAAGGCCATGCTCATTTTGGTATGCCATACACGAGCATATGCAGCAGTATAAAGGCTAAAGGATCACTGCTTCACGGTGTTTGGCAAAAAGATTAAAACATTTTGGAAGGCAGTTACAGAGACATGTGAGAAAATTATGTCAAATGAAGTTCCAAATACCCCAAAACTATTTCTGCTTGGTTTGTAGCCAAAAGAACACAGTTGTCATCAATGTGAACAAACATGACTGAACCTCAGGTTTTAAATCCTAAAAAGCTATCAGGGAAGCAAACAAAAAATAAAAATGAAAAATAAAAAAGCACATTGACTAGAAAATACTCAGAAAAAGAGTCAGTCCTGTCACATCAAAATGGAGCAAAATCTCTGAGGAGTGATTTCAGCACCTTGTTGAATCTGTGCCATAAAGAATTAAATCAGTTCTGAAGGCAAAAGGAGGTCCAAGTTGGTGTACCTAAAAGAGCAGCTAGCGAGTATATACAAAGATTTTTAAAAAATCTAATTTAACGGGTTTGGGAACAATATTTGAACTATGTACAAAATGATTCTTGGGCAGTTTGCTCTTTGTTTTCTTTGTATTTGGATATTTTATCATTACTGCAATTCTTTTTCAAATATTAATACAATATAACTGAAAGGGAAAACATGTCCAGTGATATTTTGACTTGAGCTGTATAGCAATGGAGAAAAATGACACGGTAGAATTTCATCATTTTTACGAACAACTGGGAACCCTTTCCCCGTAAGTCTCCTGCTAAACCCACATAGCCACTAACGAGCGGCAACTTTTCAAACTCTTTGGGCCAGATTTACTAAGTAGGACAGACTAGTGTGAGGCTGCAAACAGAAAAAACCCAGAAGAATAGGAGGGGAAAGTTCTGTGGGTGATCTAATAACAATGTGCACATTTATTAACACAGTCCATCTCCTTTATGTCAATATGAACAATCCAATCTACCAACAGCAGGGAAAATATGCATAGGGACACAAACGAGCAGATCTGATGAGAGCGTGAGTGATTGACCGCAAACATGGGAAAAGTTTAATACTTTAATCTGGCAGAAATAAGTCAGTGACAGTTGGATAAAAGGTGTGACCCACTGTGGAAATTTAAAAAGGTGTCTCATGAGATGCACAAGGGAAATTTCACATTTGCAAGCTATCTTGCTGAGTTTTGACTGGTGGGGTGAATTTGTTATTTAAATAACATTTGCAGTCTGAAGGCGGTAGACATATGACAAATGACTGCAAATGTGAATGAAGCTAAAACACTTATGCACAACAGCACTTATGTACAGCCTTATTAAAGCCCTGCTTGACTTTCGAATGGTTTATGCAGTGTGTTATGACTTTCAGTTGGAGATTATTGGTCATTTTTGATTTCTTCCAGAAAATTATAAATTCTAGTTTGTAATGATAAGGACCTTCTGGCATTCCAGATGAGTTACCACACAATAAGCAGTTTTCCTTCACGAAAGGAAAACTTTCTGTGCAAATATAATATTTGTGCAGCTAAATCTGCCCCTTTTTTTCTGTGTGGCTGAATCGCACGCCACCAGCCCCGGGCCAGTTGGTTGGAACTTACCTCCTTCTCTCCACATATATTGCTGATGATTGAGTTGGAAGCTGGACTGGCAGATGGACCAAGGACTGCCACCACCCCTTTGGACATGATCTGGCACACTGGAAAAAAACAGAGGAGCACAGAGATATAAGCAGGGGCAATTAGAGGTAACAGAGATAAATAAAGTAAAGTAAGGCAGTTGGTGTTAGATCAGGCTTTTTTTTTTCAGGCTAATGTTAATGGATCCATATGATCACTGAACAGATAGCAGCCTGCACCAGCATTTCTCCTGTCTCAAGGGAACCAGAAACTACAAGTATAAGGGAAATATGCACAAGGGCAGATGCTACACTCTATCTGCCTTTGGATGTTTTACTTGTTGGGGATATTAATATGATCAACTCTCAAGTATAAAGACGGAAAGATATGCAGTAAAAAAGAAAGAAGACAATGACGGATAAACAGAGTGGGAGTCGGTGAAAAGCAGACATTGGGAAATGTGACAAGCAGCAATATCTGGAGGGTGAAAATAAAAAATCTGGTATTTGATAATTTGCACATGAATGCAATAATATCCCCAAAGGTGACACGCACACACGCACACACACACACACACACACACACACACTTGATTTAACAGCGGTACCTTTGGGCTTTAAAACATATCTGTAAACAGAAACATTTCAGTAAAAGTGACTTTCTTTCCTTTGCCATGTGCACGGGCCATATGCTTTAATCTCCCATACTGGGAAAGAATGCCGTTTCTTATGTGTTTATAATCCCTGGCTTGTAATTAACACACTGCAGTCCAGGGTGTAAAGAAGACACACATACTGAAGCACTATTATTGTTTGAGCATGTGTGCACCAAAGTGTGTGTGTGTGGGTGTTGGTAATTTGGTGGCTGTTATTGGGGAATTGCTGAGCATTAACCAGCCACCAGTGTAAAATAGGCAAAGGGGAAACATTTCCAGGCCCGTGCGGTGCATCGAGAGGCAGTGAATCGAATGATTAATAAGTAATCCGCTAGTCACCCATGGGGCTTGTAAGACATGAATACACTGGCATCTCACATGAAAAAAAAACAACACACATGTATACAGTGCACACACTAACGCATCCACGCCCACACTTTTGTTTGCACCTGTCTGTAATGGCTTCACTGAATTATAAAGCTGAATGATTTGACTGCAAGCCAGAATGCTCCCGGCCCTGGTGACACTTTCATTTGCTCTCTTTGTGCACGGCGAGCTTTTTCTGTGTGTAAATATGTGAGCCATATTGAAAGTATTTGGACAGTTACACTTTTTTTTGGGAAAAAAAAACACCGTGTGGGATTCAGTTCTTTTACTATATTAGGTCTAAATTAAAAGGATTCAAAAACATTGCTTAAACTAAACAATTATATAGGTTTATGTAAATATATGTAAAAGCACTTTACATAGGTTAATTCCTAAAAATGGATGTAGCTCTGGATGAAAAGGTCAATAGAGTGAAATCTGCTTTAAAAAAAACAAACCCAAAATGTTACGCATGGCCCAAATCAAACAATTTCCTGTAAACAGCATTTATAGGCTATCACGCAGCAGAATTAGCACACTACTCTTCAGTTGTGCTTTTACTGCTATTAAAAGTTGATGGATAACTAATGAGGTACAATATATTGCCACTAGTATTCGCTCGTCTGGCTTCACATGCATATAGACCTGAGTGACATCCATCCATCCATCCATAGGATTTAAAATGATGCCACTTTGCAGCTGTAAGAGCTTCAGCTTTACTGGGAAGGCTTTCCACGAGGTTTAGGAGTGTGTTTATGGGAATTTATGACCATTCTTACAGAAGAGTGCCTGTGATGTCAAAAAATGATGTTGTATGAGAAGGCCTGGCTTGCAGTCTACTCTCTAATTCATCCCAAAGGCGTTCTGCCAGGTTGAGGTCAGAACTCTGTGCAGGCCACTCACGTTCTTCCACACCAAACTCACTCATCCATGTCTTTATGGGCCTTGCATCATACACTGGTGTGCAGTCATGTTGGAACAGGAAGGGGTCATCCCCAACCTGTTCTTGCAAAGTTGGGGGCATGAAATTGTCCAAAATGTCTCAGTATACTGAAGCGTTAAGAGTTCCTTTCACTGGAAATAAGGGCCGAGCACAACTCCTGAAAAATCAATTTACACACTGTTCTCGAGCTAAGAACACTATGCGCCTCAGCATCTGCCGCTCTGTGATTTTACATTGCCTACCCTTTAATGGCTGAGTTGCGGTTGTTCGCAGTCACTTCCACTTTGTTATAATACCACTAACAGCTGACTGTGGAATGTTTAGTAGTCAGGAAATTTCTGACTGGACTTGTTGCACAGGTGACATCCTATTACGGTACCATGCTTGGGATTCACTGAGCTGCTGAGAGCGACTCGTTGTCTCACAAATATAGAAGCAGTCTGCATGCCTTGGTGCTTGATTTTATACACCTGTGGCCATAGACGTGACTGGAACACCTGAATGCAATGCCAATGATTTGGATAGGTGAGTAAATACTGGCAGTATAGCGTACATGGGATCTTTCTGTGCTTTCAGATCCAGCTAGAGAATCTGAGTATCCCACATTCAGGGAGTCAAAAAAAACCAACAAGATGCTACAACAAGCCATAATTGAAAATGTAGCCACAGACAAAGTCCAATGAAAGTACAGCGCTGGAGTTCAGGTAGTCACTGACTACCACAGTCTGTTCCTTTCCACACTCATTACCACAATTAATTTTCCTCAAAGGCCTCATGAGAAACTTGGGCTGTTGTGAAGGACCGCAACAAAAAGATTATTAAGTGATCAAATTAATATGAAGCTGCACTTGGTTCTGCTTGGTATTCATTTTATTTATACAACAGTCCCAGTTTGTCATGTGGCCTTTGGGGAAAATTAATTACCCACCCCTGCTTTATTTGGTCACAAGATGTCAAACTCAGCACAGCCCCTTTCTGATGGCAGTCTGACTCAGTCCATGACACTGGGGACCTCTGCTATGAAGATTTTCATCTTCACAAGCCTAAAAGCCAGTGAGACTACTCTTATTCAACAAGGAGGAATGTGCCACACTCTTTTTTTCTGAGGGTGAAGGTGAAAAAATTGGATTCACCTTATAACTGCCATAAACACAAGTGTTCTTTTTCTCCTTGATAATAACTATTTACATAAACATCTATATGCATCTCCAGAAATACTTGTTCACAAGATTTCCATAATTATGCATGTCCCTCGAGTTTCTTTGTGGCTCAGATCATAAGATCATCTTTAGGCCATTATCACTATTTAACATTGTTTTTCACTAATCAATACAAGTTAGTATAACCCTGTAAACTCATGTCCTTAAGAAATAGGGAAAAAATCCAGTTAAGACTCAGGAGATAGGGCTCTTCGGCTGAAATTTTTGGTTTATTGGGTCATGGCCTTCAGCTCACACTGGAGCGGTTTGCAGCTGAGTGTGAAGCGGCGGGAATGAGAATCAGCACCTCCGAGTCTGAGGCCATGGCCCTCAGCTGGAAAAGGGTGTAATACGCACTCCGGGTCAGGTAAGAAATACTGCCCCAAGTGGAAGAGTTTAAATATCTCGCAGTCTTGTTCACAAGTGAGGGAAGTTGGGAGCGGGAGATCGACTAATGGATTGGTGTTGCAGCTGCAGCGATGCGGACAATGTCTCAGTCCATCGTGGTGACAAAAGAGCGAAGCGTAAAAGCAAAGCTCTTGATTTACTGGTTTACTCTTTCCCACGTCCCTACACAAAGCGGATGTGCACGAACTTTAGGTAGTTACCGAAAGAACGAGACTGCGGATACAAGTGGCAGAAATGAGTTTTCTCTGATGGGTGGCTGGCCTCTCCCTGAGAGATAGGGTGAGGAGTTCAGCCATCTGGGATGGGGTCAGAGTAGAGCCGCTGCTCCTCCACAGGAGCCAGTTAAGGTGGTTCGGGCATCTGACAATGCCTCCTAGGCGCCTCTAGGTGAGGTGTTCTGAGAACGTCCCCCTGGGAGGAGGCCCTGGGGCAGACCCAGGACACACTGGAGAGATTATATCTCTTGGCTGGCCCGAGAGCGCCTCGGTGTTCCCCCAGAAAACCTGTTGGAGGTGGCTGTAAAACATGATGGAGGCTCTGTCATGGTAAAGAGCTGCATTTCGGCCAGTGGTGTTGGGGATCATGTTAAAATTGATAAAATCATGATAGTGGAAAAATACCTTCAGATTTGAATTCACAAATCAATGCCACCTTTTTCAGCATGACAATGATCCCAAACAATGGAACACCATCATTCATGGATTGGCCTCCCTAGAGGCTGAACCTTAACTTTATTGAAGCAGTGTGGGGTCATCTTGACAGTGAACAGAATAAAAGGCCTCAACATTTAAAGAAGAGCTTTAAATGACTTCAAGAAACCTAGAGATCTTTCCTGAAGACTACTTAAAGAGAGTAAATTCAGGATGTGTTCAAGAATAAAGGTTGTCATATAGATGTCGCACATTATTATATAGAACAGAAAATCTGTGCATGATAGAATCTTACAGTATGTGGATGTTATGCAGCAATCAGACTATGTCCATACTGAACAGCCAGGAAAGGACTCATTGATGGTGGAATCTGACTTTTCTTCCCAGGTAATTCTCACTCTGTGATATTTTCATCTATCCGCGGCCGCTGATCCGTCCCTAATCCAAATCCTGGCTCTAATTACACACTCACATTTTCACACACTAAACATTTGCACAGTATACACAAAATCCAGCTTGTGCACAGCTACACACGTTGCTTTACATATACCCACACGCACAAACACAAACACACGGGGACACATGCACGCACGCAAGCACACTAAAGGAACCACACTGTGAGGTTTGTCTTAGCCCGGGCAGAGAAAGTAAAACAGTTTGTTGTGGTTGTGGTAACTAAAGTGCTGTTTCCATGTATTAGGCAGGCGCCACTGAAGCTCTTGCATTTGGGAAAGTAGGAATGTGTCATATTGAAAATCAATGGCTGCTCTTTTTGCAGAGACACACTGCGCTGTATTGATTTGGGGTGTTTTAATTAAAAATTTTAAAACAAACAAACCAATAAACATTGAGGTGTGATGCTACAAGTCACCAGACAGTACAAAAATGCTGTGGGTAAGTGCTGATACCACTGATAGCAAATAGCTACTCTGGCTTAAGTTAATAGAGTCACTCTCAGTGATGCATTTGTCACATCTAGGTAACAAATTAGTGGGAATCCCATGATGGTCTGGCCTACTTAATAAAAGCTCAACAACACCTGGATTAGAATGTCCACTGCACCTGGTGGTTTAGGCCAAAAGTGACGTGTTCTGTCTTTTTGTGCACATTTCCATTTTTATAACTTGGGGCTAATGGCTGATGCGTAGACGTAAATGTATGATTGTGGCAATCTTTATCACCATTTCTCAGAAATCCCAAGATTTTTAAGAAAGAGATCTTGGAACAGCTTGAAAAGATGAGACTTTCTGGAGAAAAAAAAAACAATTAAATCTCAGTGAATTTGTTGATTCCTCTTTCAACTGATGCTTCTATCAAAGCGTTGATGGTGGAGGTTTATTTTCTGAGCCTATTGTTCAGGACTAGAATGCAGGAGTACAGGGAGTATAAATGGTGATGGGCCCGCGGTGACATCACAATCGGAAAAACTTTTCAAGGTCATCTCTACAAAAGCGAGCAACCATATAAAAAAAAATAGAACATCTATTAAAATATGTTATGAGAAACTACTTGCAGAAAGAGCAGGAGAGGCTCTTTTTCTCTGCATGAATAAACATGTTAGCCAACAAACTCACACACACAATCACTTGCTTTTCTTTCCTGTGCTACTTACTTGTTTCCCCCATCTCATATTCGCTGTCTCTCAGCAGTTCAAAGATGTCCACCTCCAGCTTGCCAGTGATGGAGCGGTTACTGCTCCTGTTGATGCTGTCTTTGGCCAGCGTGATAGCCAGACGCTCTCCTCTGCTGCACTCCATAGGGTCATCAAGGATGGCAGCTGAGGAAAATGGAAAAAGCCATTGTGTTGTTGTGAGACTGAGAGAAAATCCCCCAAAATAAAACACATTTATTCTCACTGGTAAGTGAAATATTTCCCAAATGAAGGAGAGTGAAGGTGGCCTTTTTGCCATTGAGTTTAGGAATTTAAAAAGACACTTTTTCCCCTTTCTTCAATAAAAAGTCTAGTCTACAGAAAGCAGCTCCCAAGGCGCACAGGCTTATTAGGACCAGTGCTTATTTGACTTTCTCCTCACCTTTCTCCATTATTCTTGAGTACCTCCAATGACACAGCATTATCCTTAATAACTCTATACACTTTTCCAAGCAGCTTGTAGAGTAGAGGCGGGGTATTTAATATTTCCAAAAAGGTGAAGTGCTACATAATGTAAATAATGGATCTGTATGGTAAAACCCTGAAATCTTAAAAGCTTTAAATTCTTTCACCTATTCAAAGGCATTTTAAAGAGCAGCACAAAACCTAAAAGTCATCCTCGGTTGTTCAGCGTCTGTAAAGGCATGCCAGACACTTAAAACCCCAGTCACTGCAGCAGCTTTCCAAAGACGCTATGTACGCCGTGTAGGTCTACAAAATTAAATCAGTTTGTCACAAGAACACTAAAGAATGACAAGACAGCATGTTGTTCTCCAAAATGATTTATGTGCATTCTCTATGCAATATTTGTTGCAGTGTAGTCGCATTATAATCAGAGGAACTGATTCCTGTCTTGTATATGGCTTAGCTAAGCCAATTATAAAGGGATTGGATATAGATGGTGCTTTCTTCTCATTTTTATGCAGAAAAAATAATGTAATTCCACCACAATAAGGCTGCAGATGGTTATTATAAATCATTGCACAGCACATCATAACTAAGGAGTGGCACATTTGTGTGCATGCTCCGATTTTTTTCTTTTTGGGAACAACATTATGAACTTACTCCGTGACCTTAAACGGCACAGGTGTCACACTGTCATGATGAGCAATTATGCAGGTGCAGCAAACATCATCTGTTTACTGTGTTGTCAGAAAGGAGAGAAACAGAATGGCACACGGCTTCTCATTCTGTCTCTTATTTCTGATTATCAGTCCAACCATTAATGGGCTTTTTTCGTGAAATTGTGTGGCTTGATCCACTGACTCTATGCTGGATCAATGCTCGTTAGAACCCTGACAAGTCAGCAATATATCAACAATCAGTCAAGTGCCTATTCATTACAAAACTGCAACAATTTTGAAATTATATATTGACAACTTAATCAGCTTTCGACTCAATTACGTCAACAAATATTTATATGAAATGCAAGACACCTCCAAAAGTCTACAGTCAGGAAAGTAAAACCTAATAAAGTGTGCAGCAGATGTCTGAAAGCAGGCTTTGTAATTACTGTAATTACACTGGGCTAGCACAAAGGTTCTTAAGTTAAATCGATTACATCTGCAGTTAAAGCGCAGGCAGGAGATAAAAGCAACCAACCCGGAAAAGTGTGAAATTAATAAGGCACAAAAAAAATACAATTAAGTACAACATGGCTGAAAGGGAAATGTGCTGTAGGCTGTCCAATATAGAGGAAAACCGTGGGTTGCGTGTCTCATCTTATCAGAATTAAATGATCAGACGTGCATGCAAAGCTGAAACATGTTTGAAGTGACCTTTTCCCTACGGATCACACAGCTGAATAAACATCAGCTAGCTCTGACTCGCAAAGATGAGACATACCCACTCATCTGATACCATCACAGCGCCAAGTCACAGCAAGTCAATATCTACAGCCCACTGAATGCTCTGTGAACAAGCAGAGAGTAGCTGTGGAAGGTCATCTGAGGTTGCACTCACCTCTGGCTTTTAAAGCTGTGAACAAAGGACATGTTTGCTTACCCAATAGACTACTTCTTGATTATTTCCAGCTTAATATCATATTATTTAGACACTATTGTAAAATCAAGAATAAGATGCCTTCAAGAGCGGTATGATGGTGCAGCTCACAGGTCTTGGGTTCGAATCAACCAGACAGCTGGGGCTGTGTTTGCATGTTCTTGCGCTTGTGTGGGTTCTCACCAGCTCCAAAGATATGAATGGGTTAGGTTAACTGGAAATTCTAAAGCGTGAGTGGGAAAGGCTGTCTGTCTTTGCATTAGCCCAGCAATACACTGGAAACCTGTCCATGGTGTATACCAACTTTTGCTGGGATAATTTCCAACCCTGAACTGGATAAGCAGACGAAAATGGATGGCTGGATGGAAGTATAGAGAACTTTTCCTGGATTTAATTGTGTAGAGAAAAAAAGGACTCTGTTCCAAAAATCTTTCATTAGCTCTCTCCTCTCTGTCCTAACAACCCCCATCACACAAGCACAGTCTTTATACAGCTAAAAATGTATCGGTGCTGACTTTTATCGTCACATTGGATTCAGTGCTTGCTCTTCCAGGTGAAACACTTTTGCTTAAACCGGCAGCATGCCTTGCTTCCTGTGTGGATACTACTCAATTGAAACTGGCTTGAAACAATATTTGACCGGTTAGTCTCCTGTCACGGGCTCTTCTAAAGCCAGAAAACAGGAGGCCAGTTTCCTCTCAGATACAGTATGCAGGCTATTATGGAATATGGGGGTCATAATAAATGACAAAAAAACCAAAAACCCAACATGCATGTTGACAGAACATATTAAAGATGTTATGAAGGATAACAAAACTAAAACAAACAAACAAGCATTGTATGATTGTGGCAGGACACTGCCGACTTTAAGTAATTTAATTGCATTTTCCAGTTAATTTTTTTCCATAAGTGTAAAACATTTAAAACATTTAATTGATTGGTATGCATTCAGCTTATACTAAGCATATTTTCTTAATAATTAATTAGTTATTAGACAAATAAACCTTTGATTTTATATATTTCAGCTAGATTTTACTCAAAATGATTTCTTCCTGTTTATGAGGGCAAAGACTTGGTTTTTAGAGTGTAGAATAAAGTATGAACAGCAGGATTCATTCTAAAAAAAAACCCCTTGATTATATGGACTCACTAACTGCGCAGTAATTGCTTTATCCGGCCATGTTAAATAAATTTTGAATCAATGTTGAAATACTGAT